GAGACATTAATTTTTTATCGGTTTGAGATTATATAAGTATAATTCAAGTCTCTTGCAGCGAGAATTTCTGACGACCCTGCGCCACCTATGGGACATTTTCAGTACTGTGTTTTTTAAGTTTAACATAATACTTTAGAATTTTAAATGTTTGACGAATTAGGGAGTCAAAACAATTTAGCAGTGAAAAGTTTTATTTAATTTAAAATTTCTCTTCCATCATTGTGTCGGAATTGAATTTGGATGGCACTGAGGAGAGTGAAAATAGCGTCTGTGCAACTACGACCCTTTCTAAAGCCCATCTGCGAGTCAGGTAGAATCTTTTCTTTGTCCGCCCAAATAACCAGCTGCTTTTTCAAAATGCTCGTTAAGATTTTAGTAATTATATTGAGTAGAGCAATCTCACGGTAGTTATTTGGGTCGGTTTTATCGCCTTTCTTGTGAATCATCGTCAGCCAAAGCTTCGCCCAATCTTTCGGTACACGTTTCTCGTAGAGCACTTTGTTGAAGAGGGCAATAAGTAGATCTTTGTGCTGCGCCGACAGATTTTTAAAGAGCTCATTTGTTAATAAGTCAGGGCCAGCAGCATTGCCAGTTTTCAGCTTGTTAAGTATGGAGTTGAGCTCCGGTATTCGGATTTCCGCATCTAAAATGTCATTGGCATTGCAAGCCGATAAATAGGACCCAGCAATCCTTGGCTTAAAAATGTTAGCGTAGAATTGGTTCCATATGTCGGTTGAAATTTCTTGGGTTGAGCTGTGCTTGAAGTTAAATTTTCTAACAGCAGTCCAGAAGTCCGCCGGCGCATTGACGTTGGCAAAAGCAGCTTTTATACTATCAATATGAGCTTTTTTCTTGACTTTACACACTTCCTGGTAATTGTTCTTTTTGCAGATGATTTTTGCTCTGACAATGTTGCTGTTTTTGTCTTTTTTAAGTTTTCTGAGAGCTTTTTGAAACTCACTTTTTGCCACTCTACAGTCCCGAGTCGAAATCTCAGGTCTGTTTTAATCGTAAAAATTTCCAAACCCTTTGAAGTCTCATTTGCCGCCTAAAACGAGACCTGTTTTAAGCGTAGATGACAGTTTCGGAAAATAAATACGATTAAACCAGACCTGAGCAGTACCGTTTTAATCGTAAAGATTATTAAAAGATGTATGATTGTTATTATTTTTTAACAATTTATTCATTATTATTACTATGCCACCGACATCTTGTTTTTCATAGCCGCGAAAATTTGAATTATTTTTGTTGTTACTATTATTGTCAATATAGATGTAAATAAAAAATTATTGATAATGTTTAAAATAAAATTTGAACAATAGAAAATTTTTTTTCTGCATCAATGTATAATTTATTGTGTTTGCACACAGGTGATATATATATATATATATATATATATATATATATATATATATATATATATA